ATTTTCTTTCTAACTATTATTTATAATCTTTAGAAAATATTATTATTAGACTATTATTCTAGAAATTAGATAAGCTTTACTATTACTTATTTCTTATTATTATCTAATTATTATTATTAAATAGTATTCTTAATATATAAAATTTTATTACTAGATCTTAGAAATCGAATATAAAGAATTTCTTTTAGTATAAAAATAAATAGGGGATTAAGAAGTTATTTTATAGACTCTTAACTCCGAACTATAGTAATAGATAGTAATTATATTTGGAATTAGAAAAAGAAAAAAAGAAAGAAAAGGATCTTTTATATATATCTTACTAAACTAGAAACTTTTTAAAGGCTTTACTTGCCTTTTTAACTAGCTATTCTTATAGCTTATACTAGTCTAAAGCTCAACTATAATAATTATAGATTTCGATTTTAACTTGAATTACTATTATAAATTTCCTTATAATACCTAAATAAACTTCCTAATTAGAAGTTATATATAAACGAAATAGCTAAACTAAAAGCCCTATAAAAGAAAAGGGAAACCTTATTAAATCTAATAGTTATTTCCGAAAGTACTTAATAATATATAATTCTAGGAATCTATTAAATATTAAATAAACTAGATCTATTTATTTAAAGCCTATTTTATATTAGAAAACCTATTTCTTTTTTAATATAACTATAGCTATTCTTAAAACTTATATTAAGGCTTAATTAGTATATTATATATTCCTATTTTTATATAAAGAGAACTTCTTTTATATAGAACTCATTCCCTAATTAAGATATTGTTTTATTATTAGAAACTAATTACTTCTTTAAAAAGCTAGTATAATTTACTAATTCTTATTATTAATTTATTTTTTATTATTAAATATTATCTGAATAATTCCTATATCTTTAATACTAATTCGGAATACCTAATCTTTTTATATTCTATATTAACTTTAATATTAATTATTCTAAACTTAATAATAATATTATAAATCCTATTTATATTATTTTATAGTTTTTTTTTCTATATATTCTAATACTTTTGGTATTACTTTTATTAATATAAATATTACTTTTATTAATATAAATATTACTTTTATTAATATAAATATTATTTTAAAGTTCCAAATAACTAAATAGTTTTATATTATTTAAAATTAACTCTAATAAATACTAAATAAATATAATTAGCTTTCGGAAGAGATACGGATTAGTTTTAGAAGAAGTAATATTTTATTCTGAATTATTTCTTAATTTTATTATTCTAATTTCTTTTCTATTAATACTTATTTTATATTTTCCCTAATATTTTTAGTATACTTATATATTTTATCTTTTATATATTTCCTATATTATTTTTCTTTTTTTATACTATTTTTTAAGTTAATAGAAATGTTTTTAAATAAATAAGAAATCGGGATATATTTATATTATAAAATTTATATTATTTTCTTTTATATTTTAATATTTTAAATATTATTATTATATTTATATTTCTATTATATTACCTTTTTATTTCCTTATTATTACTATTTAGTTTAATCTGCCTTAATTATTTCCTTAATTATATTTCTTTAGATATATATATTTATATTCTTTTCTATAATAAAAGTCTAATTCTATATTTTATTTTCTATAATTATTTCTAATTTATAATTATATTATTTTAAATATATTTAATTATTATATCTATTTTCCCTATTATATATACTATTATTTTAGCTTTGTTTTCTTACTAGAAAGAAAGAAAAACTCAAATATATATAATATATTTATATAATTTAAGACTATTTTAATTTATTTTTTATTTTGGAATATATTTAAAAGAAATTCTTATAATCTTAAAAACCTTTAATTCTATAACTTATAATTATTATATTAATAATATCTTTATAACCTATTAAGAATAATAAAATGGCCAAAGAATAGATTTCTTAAGTTAATAAAGTATAGTAGCTAGTTCTTATAAGCTATAGTATTATTAAAAGCCTATAAATTAATAGTATTAAAATTTAGAATATTAAAGGAGTTTAGGTAATTATAGAAGGCCTACTAATACCAGAAAAGATAGCTATAATTACCGAATTTAATATAAATATTCTAGATAAGCTAAGTAATATATATAATGAATTCTTAAAATAGAAAACCTTTATTAGAAACAGAACTAGATTGGGATTAACTAAGAAAGAACTAAAAAACTATTAAGCTAATAATAGAGAATTCGAAAATATTATTAAAGGCATTTCTAAAAGCAGATAAGAGAAGCTTAATAAGATTAAGACTATAGTAAATAGTCTTAATACTAAGAGTCAGAATAGAATTATATTATATAGTAAAGCTTTTGGCTAATATATTAATAATATCTATAATAATCTTAGTAAGAATATTTATAAGAAGTTATATTCTCTTTTTAAGATAAAAGCTTTAGTATATAAAGCTATTTAGTTAATTAATAAAGCTATTTTAGAATATATTAAGGATAAGAAATATTAAAATATTAGTATATTTACTAAATTAGATATTATTAAGGTACTTAAGTATACTAAAGCTATTTCGGAATATAAAGAATTAGAGTTTAAGCTATTATTAGCTAATAACCTTAAAGCTAAATAGTATATCTTTAATATTTCCAGAATTCTAATTAAGGAGTTTATAATAATAAGCCTTTTCCTACTTTTCGAAATAAGCCTAAAGAATAGGCCCCTATTATAATTTCAGCTTTAACTTAACCGGATCTAGCTAAGAAAAATGGAACTAATTTAATAGAATCTAGTAAGAAGACTACTAGTAAAGCTAATAGAACTAGTATAACTAGATAAGAAGAACCTAGTAAGAATAGAAAATAAATTAAGCCTAAGACTCCTAATAGATAATAGAGATCTGAGTATTAGACCAAATATAAGATTAGTAAACTAGAGAAAAGTAAGGAGGAATTCTCTATTTTAAAGGAAAAGATACTATCTAAGAAAACTCCTATAACTATATCCAGAACCAAGAAGCAAAAGACTAAGGATATTGAATCCGGAGAATTTAATAAAAGTATTTAGTATACTTATAAGATATTAGCTAAATAGAAATTAATACTTATTTAATAGGATAAGTATATCTTTAAGGAGGTATATAGTAGTATTATAGGACCTATTTATAAATAAGAATACTATAAGGTTAATAATAGATTCCTCGAAACTCCTTATATAATATATATTTAATAACTTACTAATACTCTTTCTATTAATATATAAGAAATTAAGAATACTCTAAAGCTAGTTACTAAGATTTATAAAGTTACTAAAGGCAAAAAGCATATTTCTATTACTTGGGTAAATAAGGAAATACGAGATTTCTTTTTTAAAAACTAGGAAATTAAAAAGTATAAATATAAATATTATATTTCTAATTAATTCCGCTCTAATTTATAGCTCTAATTCAATATTACAGTTCCTATTCCTGAGTCTAGTACTACTAATCTGGGTACTAATAGCCATATTTATAAGAAAGATTACCTGAAATAAATTAAGAAGCTTAGTATTCGAGAACCTTAATAAAAGAAATAGAAATATTATAGTTCTATCTCCAAAAAATAATATATTAATATATAGAGATCTTAGTAATAGCTATTTTATCTTAGCCTCTTAACTTTTAATAGTAGATCTATTAATATAGCTCGGATTTTACAAGATATTAAGCAAGTATCCTATTTACCTAATTACTTACTCTTAGCTAATCCGATACTTTATTCCTGGAAATATTAATTATAATTAGTATAAAGGTAATACTAAAGATCTGGCTATTACTAAAGCTTTAAATAGCGAATTTTACCTTAGTAAAAAGTATTAGAATATTAGCTATATTTTCCTTATAAACTATAAGAAGGCTATTACCTTTAATAAGAAGTTCTTTAAAGACATTAATTATTTCTCTATTTCTAATAAATTTAAGCTAGAAGTAGCTAAGAAAATAGGCAAATATCTACTAAAGATAGTAAAAGGAAAGACTCCGAATATAATTTATTTGACTAGATAAATAAATACTTTTAGCTAGATAATCTATAAGTCTGGAATTATAGAAAAGTATTAATTCTCGAATAATATATAAGTTAAAAAATAGCTTAATAATAATTTGCTATTTAATAGGCCTTTTACTATAGTTCCTATAAGTCTAGTTACTATTAAGAATAGAATATACGAAAATGAAGTCTCTTATAAGGTTATTAAAGTCTCTTATCTAGAGCTTTCTCCTTCTATTAAAGGTTAATTCAAGAATATAGCAAATAATACGAAATTTAAAAGAGCTATCTATTTAGAGTATATTAGTATAATTTATAATATAATTTACTATAATAAGCCTCCTTAATACCTTATAGTAAAGGCAGAAATTAAGTAATAGTTAAAGGCAAATACTAATTAATATAGAGAACTATATTGGATTTAGTATAAGAATATAGCTAAGCGGATTCGGATTGCCTTTAAGTAAGTTCGGAAGTATAAAATAAGATTATTTAAGAGTAATAAATCTTATTTTAGGTATATAAAGGAGAAGTTAGATTAACTAATAGAAGAAGATCCTAAATATTTTATTATTTCGGACTCTAAATAGGATTTTTCTATTATTTTTAGTATTTAGGAAATAAGTATAAATGAATAGGGAATTAAATATAATATAGCAGGCTATATTTATTAAAAATTATATTATTTTAGCGGTTTTGAGATTTAGGTTATATAGTAAAGGCTATAGCCTTTTATATATAACTTGCGGAAATTATATAAGAAAGCTAGTTTTTTTATAGACTTAGAGAATAATCCTTTATAAGTATTTAATTAATTAAGCTTTTATATACTATATACTATTTATACTTTATTATTTATGCTTTTAATTTATTATTTTGCTATTAAGTCACGTTTTATACTCTAGTATACTTTATATGGGTTTTTGTCTTATTATAGTTTCCCTCTTATTATAATAGCAAGATCAAGGCAATAGTATAAAGGCTCAAAGATCCAGGAAAATCCCATGTATTGAGAATACTAAGCTAAGGAGAAAAAGGAGAGAGAGAAGGAAAGGGGATAAAAAGAGGGAAATACTAGCTAAAACTACTAAAACGCCGGCTAGCTAGGTGAAACCAGTCATATAATAGCCACCCCCCTTTGGCCCCTAGCCAGTACCGTCATATTACCCCCCCGGAAACCAAATCTAAATGCCCTTATTCAGATATATAAAGGAAATAGGGTTTTAACGAAACCCCCAAAACGGCCAGCTTTTAATAGTTACTGTCTGACCAATAGCCACCTCTACCTTTACCTGAGGCTCCAGAACTAGCCTCAGACCCAAAATTGTCTGCAGAACCCAAATCATCCCCAGAATCGTCCGCAAAACTATCTACAGAACCGTCTAAAGAACCAAGCTCGTCCAGGAAACTATCTATAGAATCGTCTATAGAGCCCGAATTATCTATAAAGTCCAAATCGTCCCCAGAACTATCCGCAGAACCGTCCAAATCGTCTGCAGAACCGGAACTAGCCTCTGTATCCGATTCAAACTCGGCTCCAGAGCTAGCTTCGCCAGGATCTTGTCGGCTCTCGGTCTCCTTAGACAATAAATTATTGGCAGGAGGGCGTCATATATAAGCCTCTGGGGCAGAATCGTCCGAATTGTCTGAATCGGAGGAGTAGTAGTATTGTACGAGAGGCGGCCATACGAGAGGCGAATAAGGGAGAGGCGAACGAGGAAGGGGCGAACGTAAGACAGTTACTTCTGTTTTAAATCGGTAAACTGGAACCGATTACCGGGTTTCTTCCGTTTTAAATCGGGAACCCGAAACCGATTAGCGTATCTCTTGTTTTAAATCGGAGGATTACTAATTCTTGGAGGGGGGTACCGGTTCTTTTGCTCTCGTTGATATCGAGGAAGCGTCGTCTGCTCTAGTTGAGGGCCGGACTCCGAGGTTAACTGGATCGTAGAGGACGGGAATCTTTCTTCTTTTAAGTCGGCAGAGGACCGACTATCGGGTTATCGTCTGTTCTAGTTAAGGGCCAGACTCCGAGGTTGACTAGGTCGTAGAGGACAAGGAACGTTGTCTGCTCTAGTTAAGGGCTAGGCTCCGAGGTTAACTGGGTCTTGGAGGACGTATCTTTCTTCTTTAAGTTCGGGAAAATTGCCTACCGAACGTCAGGAGCGGAATTCTGCCTTTGCTCCCCAAGGACAAGCACGGGTCCTTTGCCGGCAGTATTATATCGCCTCTATAGGCCGAGTCGAGTGAGCTTAGTATTATGTAACGGCGGGATCGAGGTAATAGTACAAAGGCTCAAAGATCCAGGAAAATCCCATATATTGAGAATACTAAGCTAAGGAGAAAAAGGAGAGAGAGAAGGAAAGGGGATAAAAAGAGGGAAATACTAGCTAAAACCACTGAAATGCCGGCTAGCTAGGTAAAACTAGTCATGTGATAGCCACCCCCCTTTGGCCCCTAGCTAGTGCCGTCACACTTATACCGGGCAAGAATTCGATTATTATAATAAATAATTATAGTATATACCGGAGCCAGAAAGTATTTAATATATACCGGATATAAGGGATTTGGATATATTAGTTACCTTCTTATTACCTAATTTTGAATCTAATTAAGGAGAGCTTTTATAATATTAAGTCTAATATATAAAGGAATTATAGGAAGGTTTATAGAGAGTATCTAAACTTTAGAGATTATCTAATTAATACCGTTTAGAGGCTTGGACGGGGGCCGGAGGTAGCTAGGAAGGCTAGGGGGCATTTCTATAATTCAGGATATCGGGATTTCCCTATAGAATTAGTATAATATTAATAGAATTACTATATTTAATATTACTTAAAGTTCTAGTAATTTTAATATTATAAAAGATAGTTCCAAAATTACTTATTACTTTACTAGAAAGCCAATATTAATACTAATTAAAAAATACTATAGTTCTTAATAACTATAACTGCTATTAAAAAAACGAAAATATCTTTAGAATTATAGGAAATAGCTCTTTTAATTATTCTAATATATAAAAATCCTATAGTATAATTATAAAAATATTTAGTATAAGAGAAAAACTTCAAATATTAATAATCTTAACTAAAAACAATAACTATAATACTAGTAATAAATCTCTTTAAAAGAGCCTAAAATCCTGTAATCTAATTAGTCTATTCCTTGCCTCCCTAAACTAGTAATATATAGAAATTAAGGAAGTAGCTTATTAACCTCGATTCTAAATATCATCCTCTATCTAATCTCTAATTAATTTGTAATCATTATTAAATATTCCAGAAGTTATAAACTCTTACTAATCCTGCTTCTATAAGTTACCTATATTCTAATAGAAGCTAATTTCGTCTTTAGGATACGTACTAAAGACGATATCTAATTAAATCAAGTTACCTGCTTGGGTATCTATAATAGTACTTTGGGAGGGGGCTACTATATTAGTAATTAGTACCGGAATACCCATATTTAATATAAAAGATTAATTAACCTCCGAATTCCATACCATATATTAAGGAGAAACCTAATCCTTTATAATAAGGAGAAATCCCTATGGAATACTATACTCTTTAGCCTCCGATTTCTCTATTACCTTTAGCTATTTTGGGTTAATCTGCTCCTCTAATACTATAGCTATTAAATTACTAATATTAGTCTATCGATTTTGAGATAAGTAAATATCTAGCCATACTCTAAATAATACTAATTCCTCTCCGATATTAGTATTTCTATAAATTGGGCTAGACTCTTACAAAGTATACAAATCAAAGATACTAGAGAAGTACTTAGCTTAACGATTACGATCTTAATACCGGGAATATAGAAGAGAAGGAAAAGAAGGTCATTAATATTAAAAATAAGGCGAATTAGCTTATAGACAGGGAAGAAGCTGGATTTACTAGAGAAGTTTAGCTCGATAATATAAAGCTTGCTTAATAGCTACGAACTCAGGGGGAGGGATTAGATCGTAATTAGCGGGATATACAGGTAAATAATAGAGTAGTAATACCCGTAGGATGCTATATAAGCTGGCGGAGAGCTCTTCTCTCTTGAATTTATTACTATAGTAGTTATAATTAATAATAGAGCTGGGTTAAAATAAGCCCTCTCTTTATTCATCCTTTACTTTCCCCTCCTCCTTTACCTTTCCCTTACTCTTATTCCGTTATCCACCTATCCTCTATTAATTTATACTATGGTATATCCATTTAATAATCAAATCAGGAGAGATAGTAGTAACATTAGCCTTATTAGAAAGATTATCTCTCTATTAATCTATCCATTTATAGAAATCGTCCAAATCAATCCTGAAATGGTTCCCTTTATAGATAAAGTACTATCGATTTTTATTTGGGCACCCTCCCCTTTCCCCCCTATTATACCTCTAATACCGTAAAAGTAGGCTCAATCTCTCCTGAAATCTCGATTGTATCTTCCTATCTTCGACTAAAGACTCAATAGCAATAGTAGTAGCTGTTTTCCTAGCCTTCTTAATAGAGGGGATGCTCTTTTTAGTATTACTGTCGTTATTTGAATAGACTAGCTTGGGAGAATCTGGTGTTTTTCTTCTCTTTCCTGACGCTCTCTCCGGTTCCGGTAACGATTCGGGATCTCCTTTAGTAACGAATCGGGCTTTAATAGCGCAATCAACGCCTTTGGAGCCCCTAGAAACCATTATAAATTCGAATCTCTCAAAGCTATTCCTATCTTCGATATAGAAGATCTGTCAATGGCTTAAAGCTCTATATAATACCTTCCATTTCTTCCTAGGCTTGACCTCCTTATCCGTCTTCGCCGCTTCCTCAGCCTTCATCTGAACCCAGCCCTTCCAAAATCGGTATCCGTAATATAGAATCGATAAAAAATCCTCCTGAAAAGACTCTGTATGAACTAGCTTATGGTTCAAGTAAACCTGCCAGTTCATGGTAACCACATAGGTCTTTGGTTCGGGCTCTAGAGATTCGTTGGACGATGACGACGATATTTCGACAGTAGGCTCCCTTTGGGGATTAGCTCCACTAGCACCAGTATCAGGAGAAGGCTCTTTTGGAGGCCTGCTAGCACTCGTAAGCTTGATTTTAGGCTGTTTGGGAGCCACTAGAGCGGAGGAGGCCTTAGCCGTAGGTTTTCTCTGTCGTTTTTTGCCTACTGAAGGCGGTGGTTTCTCGATTTTTTTGCTCTTTGAACGTGCCATGGTGGGAACTTGCGAATAAAGTCGAAATTGCCTAATTGGGATGGTACTGGAGGTGGTGGTGCGATTATTGGGTGAGTTTTGTCAATTATCATTAATTTTTGGTGGGGTGCATACCAAAATTGCATGATGCGGCTAAAATTCTCGGAAACAGGGAGTTTTTGCATATTACTGTAAGAAAAGTTCGGCGATCTTCCGAGCCCCATTCCAAATTTAACAACCAACGACTCTAAGTTGCTCCTCTGCCTACATCAGCGTGCCAGAGCACGTTCAAAATATTGATGTGATCTCAGATCTACGGGCTGCTCTTCAGCAATCATGAGTGTCCTCCTCGAAACCTCGGCCGGCGACATCGTCATCGACCTTTTCGTAGACTACTCACCCAAGCTTTGCGAAAAGTAAGCCCTCACCCTCCCCTCTACTTATAAAGTAACTGAACACATAGATACTAAGACATTTGCCTCCCCTAGCTTCCTAAAGCTGTGCAAGATCAAATACTACAACTTTTCGCCCGTACACAGCGTTCAAAAGAACTTCTCCTTCCAGACCGGCGATCCCCTCGGCCCTGACTCGAACGAAAGCGATGGTGGATCCTCAATATGGGGTGTTATCAACGGACCTTCGAAACGAACATTTACGGCGGGTTTTCACCCGAAGCTGAAACATGTGGAGAGAGGGACAGTGAGCATGGCTACAGCTGTGTCACCCAGAGACCCCGATGAGAGGCTTGCAGGCAGTCAGTTCATAATTACGCTGGGTGATAATATGGATTACTTAGATGGGAAGGTGGCCATTTTTGGAAAGGTTGTGGAAGGATTTGATGCATTGGAGAAGATAAATGATGCCTTTTGTGATGAGAAGGGACGGCCTTTGGTGGACATCCGGATTAAGCATACCGTCGTTCTGGATGACCCTTACGATGACCCGCCTGGTCTTGCCGAACCTCCAGAGAGTCCACTACCTTCCAAGGCTCAACTTGCTACAGTCAGGATCGGGGAAGATGACAAGTTGGACGATGAAGCAGATGCGGAGGCTGTGGAGAAGCAACGACGGGAACGGGAGGCAAGAGCTCAAGCTTTGACATTGGAAATGGTGGGCGACCTACCCTTTGCAGAAGTCAAGCCACCGGAGAACGTCCTGTTTGTCTGCAAGCTCAACCCTGTCACTACTGACGAAGACCTCGAACTCATATTCTCCCGCTTCGGCAAAATCCTCTCCTGCGAAGTCATCCGTGACAAGCGCACTGGAGACTCCCTGCAATACGCATTCATCGAATACGAAGACCAAGCTTCCTGCGAACAAGCGTATTTTAAGATGCAAGGTGTGCTGATCGACGATCACCGAATCCATGTCGATTTCTCGCAAAGTGTGTCGAAGCTGTCGGATACTTGGCGCACGGCGACGAATTCGAAGCGGAGGAACGGCGGTGGTGGGTTTGGCGGTGTGAGTGGGCTGGAAAAGAAGAGACAGTATAAGAGTGAGACGGAAGGTAGGGGCAGGGAGAGGAGGGATAGGTATGGGATGATCATAGATGAAGAGGAGTTGAGGAGGCGCCATGAGAGGGAAGGGAAGATGAGCGGAGAGAGGGACAGAGAGAGGAGTAGGAGTCCATATAAGGAAAAAGACAGAAAGCCTTATGATTCAAGGGACGAGAGAAGAGGACGAGGTGATGGGCGTTATAGGGACGGAAGGGATAAGGACCGACATGATGATAGAGATAGGAGAGGTGGAAGGGGTGACTATTACAGACGGTGATGAGAATAGGCTGTCAGCGACTGGCGTTGGTGGCAATCTTTGGTCAGTTGTCTTCACCTTTGGTTCATCACGATTCAGACGGAGTTACATTAAACTGGAGCCGTTGTCAAAGCTATTTAATGTCTTCTACTCATACATAGCAAATGTGAAATGGTTGCTGCCCATTTTGTGCGCCAAAGACTGCACAACACAGTCCCTCTGGCGAGTGCAAATAGCAAGTGCCTCGAGATCTAGCAACAGCAAAGGAAATCGTACTTCACATTGTCTTCATCCAGCGAATCATACCACGTGCTCTCTCGTTCCTTCGTTCCTTCATTCCTTCACTCTTTCATTCCTGATTCATCTTCACCCTCACGAGTTCCTACACCAAGAACAAATCTAACACCCATCAAGATACCACTCGCTCGAAAGGGAGTCTCTTTCTCCGCCATCGTACCCCTGTATGCACAACCTGACCGTGAAACGTATTCCTTGTCGGACCACTTCTTCGCCATCTTTTCTGTTGCGTAGGAAACTACTGAGTCTGCGCAAAGGGAATTTGGCTTCCATGCTAGATCGGCGGATTTCGAAGGGCGCGGTGGACGAGACTCCTGGGCTGTTGAAAACAACCTTCCAGTGGGCGTTGACGTTGCAAAAGTAATTGGTCCAGATGCTGAGCGGCGTGAACCAGGCCTCGGGAAAACTTTGGGACTTGAAGACAAGGGTTGTCGGCTTCCTGGTGTAGATGCCGAGGGCGTGGTTGCCACAGTAATTGGTCCAGATGCTGGTCTACGCGGGCGTGAGCTCTGGACAGGGTTTGGACGTGGATCTAGCGGTTCTCTGCTTGCTGGGTTCGGTAAGTCGGCGCTGATTTGCGGGACTGGCAATGCCGGTGTGGGCGTTAACACTTTTCGAAAGGACGTCGTGCTTCTAGTGCCAGCGGTGTACTTCATTGTGGCACTTGATGATATCGTATGTGCCGAACTGATTGGTGTTTCGAGGTCCTTCGGTATTGTGACAGCCGGACTAGTTGGGGTTGGTGTGTTCATTCCTCGGTGTGATCTCGGATGCGGTTTGGAGTTGCGTACATTCGCAACTCCTGGGTCGACGTCGAGCTTCAGCTTCATGGAGGATCCTACTTCTGGTTTTTCGAGCGATTCACCAAAGTTGCGCCAGAAGTTATCGTAAGAGATGGGCATGGCGATCGACTCGTCGTTTGGTTGATCTGCCTGAACTTTTGTGTCAGACTGAGTGGGCATCATCTTTTGTCCTTGGACCTTTACGGTCTCCTGTGTAGTCGATAGAGGAGTCATTGATGCTTCTACCCCCTCCTGGCCTCTCTTCATGTTCTTCGATACAGCTTGCCCGGGCTTCTTGGCCTTAGCAAATCTTCCCTTGGCAGTTCTGCATTTTGCTGTCTGGCTCTCGTCAGTATCTGGTGTCGGCTCTGAACGTTTGTTTCGAGATGTTTCGAGGGGGTTTTGGACCGGGGTTTGAGTCGTAATTTTATGTGTGGTGCTATTCACCCCTGTTATGACAAGAGCTGGTTTCTTGTAAGTAGCAGTGACCTTGGGAAGATTGAATTGTAACCTTTCGGCTTTCAGCTCACTGATTACCTTCTCTTGTCTGGCAGTGAGATTCCTGGTCGAACGAGTTGAGCTAGTTTCAGCGAATGATGCCCCGAAGGAGGCGTTGACGCCTGTAGCTGGCTTATGAGGCGTAAGCAAGGAGCTGAGTTCTCGAGCTGACATGGCTCCCGAATGTCTTCGTTGTTTCTTGTCGGCTGGCTCTTGAGGCTGGCTGGCTCGGGACTTTTTTAGTGGCCCCATGAACTCTTCTTGCGCTTGAGAGCCTTTCACATCCATTGTGGGCTGATCACAAGCTTCTTGTTCGAGTCTCGGAATGCGACTAGAGACTTTGTTGTCCTTTGAGACCATGTTGGTGCGCTTGGCACTCTTCGGATGTAGGATAGGTGGACTCTCGCTACTTCCCAAAGATGTGTTGCGAGATCCAGATGGCCCCCGCTTTCTCTTAGAAGATCTGGTTGGCGTATTTTCAGAGGCTATGCTCGAGTCAGACTTACGCTTTCGCGCATCACCAGCTCCGTCCAATCCCAGTCTATCTTCTTTAGACATGTCTTCGGCTTCATGAAGCATGGAGCTTGGCTGTTGATCGGATCTGGTAGAAGGCCGACATGGGCTACTGTCCATCTCAGAACTCACTCCTGGCGTAAAAGAAATCCCATCTCCAAAAGGTTCAGGGTGTGGGAGACATTCAAATGGAGTTGAGGGCAGTGTTTCAAGTTGTCTATTACGCAATGTCAGATAATTGTCCACCAACTCTTGACCTCGAAGATTGTCTGGAGACGAGGCAGGGATCGACTTGGATCGCTTGGATCTTGTCGAATAAGTAACCGATTTATCCGCGTCAAACGGAATGTACTCCCACGGATTCTGTTTTTGGCCTTTAGGCGATGGCGTGGGACCCTTGTATGACTTCTGCGGAGTGACTTTGGGCTTGTTCGGATGTCGAGGCTGTGTAGGGGTCGTTGGTCTTGCGGTATCTTTGTTCTTCATCGCTGATCGAGGCATTGACGAATGCATTGCAGGAAGAGAACCTCCACGCTTCAATTGCGCCGATGACGTGACTAAAGCGAGCGGCTGGCTTGATGGTGGATCCTCTTGCAGCTCCATAGATTGGCCCACTAACATGGATGGTGTGGGAGTTGATTCGTCTGTAGAGTCCTTTAGAGGAACCTTTCTTGTGTTGACCGTGCTGAAATAGTACCCATCGTCAGAATTATGTCTTCGAGGTTCTTGCTTTGTGATGGAATCAGACTCTCTGTTATTCTCCTCGCGCTCAAATTCCGCAACTATTTGGGCTTTGTCCTGAGGCTTCAACTCTTCAGGGACAACGAATAGCTGTTGACTCTTGGCACAAATGTATTCGGGGAGTTTCCGACGAGGTTTGATAATATCAATCCACTGAGGTACCGTAATTGATCTTCCGACGGAAATTACGACCTGTAATAGTGCTTATCAGTGCAATAAACTTTGAACCGCAATATGCTTACTTACGTCGATGATGCCGCCTTGACGACCTACTGTACCACTATTCTTTATGTTCTGTGGCACTGATTTCTTCGAAAGTTCCGCCAAGTACTCGCCCACTGGAGATCTGAGCATCTTATACTTGCCTACCCGCCCCCATTCACGTGCTTCCTGGAGCAGAAGTTTGTTGACTTTGTCCCACCTGTCTTCAAAACTTGAGCTCTCATGTGATTTCTCCGACGGAGAGGTATCATCATTTGTCACTGGCAAGATAACCCAGGGTACCTCGAGGTGTGTATCAATTTTTCGCCCTCCAAAAAACTGATCCTTCTGTTCAGCAGTGAGGAGTTCAGCTGTGTGGGATCGAAAGACTCTCGAAGAGGCAAATTCTCCATTAAAAAAGACGTTAACGCAGATGTCTTGGGTATCATTCGTTATGATCGACTCCATGAATGAGTTCTTCGACAGAGAGAGCTCGACCATGACTGGAATTGCGGTTGTGATGGGCTTGGAAACGGTACCTTGCACTAGTTGTGGTAGGCTTTTGGGCTTTCGTTGGACACATCCGCGGCGATTTCCATTCCTCACTGCAAATGTTAGCTGCAGAGTTGCGGTTCACAGAGTTAACTCACCAGAACTCGCGTCTTGAGGTGCACTCTCCTCGGTCTCTAGTGGGCTAGAATCTGCAAACATCGAGGACGAGATAGAGGAGAGAACGGAATCGCCATCGTCGTTGTGAAAGTCATGAGCAGATGACTGGAGTTCCTTTGTTGGTTGGATATCGGGGTTCTTGTGATCTTCTTTGGCAGGAACTGGTTCTTCTTGTCTCCGCTCAACGCTTGGCTTTGTGATGGCGCTAGAAGTCTGACGCGTCTTGAAGAACAAGTCGTGGCCAGCATTAACGATCCAGAAAGGCATGTCAGAGCCGAGAAACTCGACCCCTTCATGTTGCTCTTTCAATGGCTCAACGTCTCGTCCATATGGTGGAGGTGGGTAGGTATATGGTCCGCCTGTGCGCTGCCTCCCGATGCAGCGTTTCGGCGGTTGGTCCGGGTCCCAAACACACAGCTTCACTGTTGTGTCGTGGATGTGGTAAGTCGGCATCGTGACATGTCATTCAGACGCAGCATTGGTTGGAGTATGGAAGCAAAGTATCAGGGAACAGGAAGAGGCAGATGCTGGCCACTCTGCGATTACATCGCGCGTGTCTCTGACATGGGATTGAGAGGAAATTTTGACGAGGTACGCGGCGAATTTTAATGGTTATGCAGGAATCGTTCCGTTCGTGAAGAAGCGAGCCTCGAGAAATTTAAAGGAGAGACTCAGCCAGCTTTCGCGAATCTCGACGCTTATTAAGGTCAATAGGAAAGACCCTTTCTTTTATGCACTTTAACACTGCAAACTTACAGTGTCCAGTTCATATTCGAACGCTCAAGTCATTTCCATCCCAGGAAGGACCGACACAGAGGCATCATCTTGCTGCCACTAGAAACAACGACACTCAGTATTCCACGAAGCTCAATGAATTAAACTGGGCATGCTGGCAGCTACATTACCTATCGGCGTGGGAATTAGACATTTAGCCTTTGAACATTCGGATGACTTACCCCTGTCTGGAGAAAATTGGAATCCTCGAGTTCTTTCTATGCAGATGACTTCGCAAAGGATGGCTTAGATGAAAGCAAATGAACGGCGATTTGAAACACGCCCACTAACGCCCACGCTGATGCAGAGCAACTCAATAAACTAAGAAACCAAGACCTGAGGTCTCTTAGGCCAACTCACAGCTCCAAACCCACCATTTCCGTCCAGCTGCTCTCCTAATTGCATAATCGTCTGCTCATACACTCCGGCGACATCCATCTCAAACTTCTGATTGTCGGCGTCCATTTCAGCGTCTTCCTCAAGATCAATTTCCACGCCGCTCTCTACTATGCCTTCGTCCAACTCTGGCTCCTTATTCATAACATCAACAATCAAGACTCTCGTCGTTTCGACCAACCCTTTACACCTGACCATGTCTGTCTTACTCATCCCACCTCGCATTCCCCTTTCAAATCCCGGCAAAATCTCACCAGTATCGCTATCTTCCCCTTTCAGCAAGCTAGAGAAGGCATGATCCAGCTTCCTTAAAAGTCGGAAAGTGGATTTAGGAGATGGCGGAAATGCAGGGAGATATGTATTTACCGACCCCGCAATATTCAACAAATATGGGATCTGTAAACTTGCTATCCCCCAAGAAGTTGTTTTTCAACATAAGTAAAATTTAAGGTGTTGAGGGTAAACATACGGGTTCCTGAAAGCCAAACTACGTCAACAATCTCCCCAAAATCCTTGGCAATTTGCCCCATACTCTCATATCCCTTCGCATCCTCGAGTCTACTCTCTTCAACAGGCTGAAACTTCTTCGTATATCTTCTCGAAATGTGTAGCAGTCTTCCCTCAACGTACCGTCTCGCAGCATCTTCTTTAGCGGAGCCAGCTCTCAACGGATGAGAACGGGGATGAGGAAGATTCGACCTTGAGGAGCTGGAAGAAGCACTGCTGGGTGCTGGTGATGGCAAAGATGGAGGCAAGAAACCTCCCGGTTCTGGTGCTTGTTCATCCATTTTCGTTATTTGGTCATTTGAATGTGACAATCATTTTTGGTTCTTTTTATAGTCTAGAATGTTCAGGGAGTGATGTTGAACGGGTGATTAAGCAGCGCCTCATCACGTGGTGATATGAACACTGCAAACATTAGCCCCCATCTCGAAAAAGTTTCGAAGGTTGACTTGAAGGCGATACCTCCGAATTAGCAATTCACGTGCACATCAGGATATTCTCGTGTTTCATTTCCTCAAGCTCTTCATGCCCCAAATACGAAACACGGTCAGCTTCTGCAATTGAGAGGAAAGAGCTTCAAGCAGCATTTAGCTGCAAAGCTTCCACGATGTCCAGCCTCGATGATCTTTTCAAGGTACTTGCAAGTTTCACAGCTCCTCAATTCCTCTTCTAATCAAAATCACAGAAACCAGCTCTTCCAAGCAATAAGCGCAAGCTAGACGCATCTCGGGACCCAAGTTTGTCCATCCTCCATATCCTATTATACTAGCTAACTGTCCCCAGATGAAATCTACAAAGCTGCAAAACTCTCCGCAAATGGCCACGCCAAGAACAACGGCAAAGCAGCCGCAGTCGAAAAGGCAGACGACGATGTAGAAGCTGGACCCTCAACACCTCCTGATGACGAAGACTATGGACCGGACATACCAGACGATGAAGAGGGACGATTCTTTGGCGGCGGAGTGACACAAGAAGAGAACGAGATTCTGGATTATATGGAAGGGCAAAAATCTGCTGAGGTAGCGCCAGAAAAAATCGACTCAGCGTGGCTGCGGAAACTGGCTCTCAATTTCGAGAAGAAGATCACGAAGAACGCAGAGTTGAGGGCGAAGTTCGAGAGCGAACCACAGAAGTTTATGGGCAGTGAGGCGGACTTGGATGCAGATATCAAGGCATTGAGCATATTGGCTGAGCATCCAGAGCTATACGGAGAATTCGCGAAGCTGGGATGTGTGGCCAGCTTGGTGAGCTTGTTGGCGCATGAGAATACGGATATTGCGATCGATGCTGTCGAAATAATCAGCGAGTTGACGGATGAAGATGTTGAGGCGGAGCAGGAGCAGTGGACGGTCTTGGTAGATGCTATGATTGAGGCCGATCTACTGGATCTTCTGATCTCGAATTTTGCGCGGCTGAATGAGAACAACGAGTCAGATCGGAGTGGAATTTACTATGCTTTGAGCGTGCTGGAAAATCTAGCTTCACAGACATCTTTAGCGGAAAAGATTGGGCAGGATACGACTGTTCTGAATTGGCTGCTGGATCGAATACCGGAGAAGGAATCACCTGTCAGTCAGAACAAACGATATGCGGCGGAGGTGATGGCTATTCTGTTGCAGTCATCACCCTTAAACCGGAAGAAGCTGTGCGAGCTAGATGGTGTTGATTTGCTACTACAGATACTTGCAGCCTACCGGAAACGAGATCCACTGAAAGGCACGGAAGAGGAGGAATTCGTGGAAAATGTCTTCGATTCCCTCACCTGCGTGGCGGATGAGCCGGAAGGAAAGCAAAAGTTCGTGGAAGCAGAAGGAGTTGAGCTCTGCCTGATCATGATCGAAGAGGGCAAAATGAGCAAATCACGAGCATTACGGCTGATAGATCATGCTCTTAATGGGCAAAGCGGCCCAGGAGTGTGTGAAAGATTAGTCGAAGCTGCGGGACTCAAGGTCGTATTTGGAATGTTCATGAAGCAACAAGATGGCCAAACAACAGAACACCTTCTGGGGATCTTCTCTTCGTTACTCCGATTATTGCCAGCGAATTCCTCAGGACGAATACGGACTTTAGCGAAGTTCGTAGAGAAGGACTACGAGAAGTTAGGGAAGCTGGTGAAACTACGAAGAGACTATGCTGCGAGAGTAGCTGTTATGGACAATGAGATCAGAAATGAGCAAACGAAAATGGATGCAGAGGAAAGAGAGGAGATGGCCGACGAATGGGACTCGAGGAGGTTGGATGCAGGGTTATTCTGTTTACAGACGATTGATGTTATTTTGGCTTGGCTGGTTGCTGAAGATGATGGCGCGTACAAGAGGATTCAAAGTCTTTTTGCGGATCGTGATGAGTCTTTGGTGGTGGTCAAGGCTACGATTCAAGGTCAGTTTTTTTTTGTTTGCCAGTTACATCCACAGTGTCGGACTAACAATTTTGCAGAGCAACTGGACGCCATAGTTGGAGAAACAGAAGAGGAGACCATGACGAAAGACATGCTTAGTACATTAGTACAATTCTTGACATAGTCAATCAGAAGCATGCAAGAACTCATCCTCGATGAGTTGTGCCTGAAAACACTTCCATTTCCTATCAGTCCAGCCTTGTCATAAGGTCATATGGTATATATCTCCAATGGAAAACTGGTGTGAGCTCGCGGTGGACATGAAAAGCGCCACTATATTACAATGTCCTTAGTCAAAGTTGGGCAATGATGCGGACTTTGAGAATATATGGCTTGAATAGTCGAGGCCTTCCGAAACTTTCGGGTATTATTGAAAGTACGAGAGCTCGAGGGAAATTGGGAAAGTTGGGGAGCTGAAGTTGAAATGTCCCACAAGATGGCAATCTTACATTTAGTGTCGCTTTTATTTCTACCGCTAGGTGAGTAACGATAGAACGCCCACTAATTGGCGATTTGGATGTAGATTTCCAAAACTCCTGCAACGCAGTGCACTAGACGTCAAACAGCCTTCTCGCCTCTTCCCGCCCTTTCCCATTCGCTCGGTCTTCCGGCGGCTCTCTCCTCGCCAGTCTTTGCGTTGAATTCAGTTATCAGCCCTCCTGTCCATATTAAACACGGAACAGCAGCGGAAAATCCGAAGAGGCCTAACGACCATGACATCGTTCCCCAGCCAGCATCTGTTCGGACGTAACCCGCCCAAACAGGCCCGATGAGTGTCCCGGCGGCAAGAGCAGTAACGAACAACCCATATGCTTGGGCGTAGGCTCCAGTCTTCCCAAACCTTCCTGGACTTTCCCTCTCTTTGGCTTCCACAACATAAGTTATTTCCGCCATCAAGGGAGGCATTGCCAGGGTAAGAGCGACTCCTATCAAGGATAGCAGTGCGCAAAACAGAACTTTCTGGCCCTGGCTGTCGTGTGTGACAAAACGAAGCAGCACCCAGAATGGAATTGCTAGAGTGAAGCCGGCAACTGTCAACCACCGTGGTCCGTATTTGTCTGAAGCCCAACCCACCACGGGCGAGGCAAATGTTGGGATGATAACAGCGAGGAAAATCAGACCAGCTCCTGTGGAATTCCAGTGGAATGTTTCTTTGACAAAGAGCGGAATCACTCCATCGAAAGCCGTCATGCATGTCATCTGAACGATGCAGCCCCAAAGTGCCGCGAGAAGACGGCGTGATTTGAGGAGAGTGAAAACTGGAGGGTATTTACTAAGTGGTCTCGCAAGCGGAGGTTGTTCCGATGTTGGCGCAAGGGAGTTGAGAGCTTCGGGAGCCACTTCCCTAGGATTCTCCACTGCCGTCTTCTCGGGATCGGATCCTGGCTCCGGAGTTGATAACTCGGGAAATTCTTCGGGCAGCCATTGACGGGCTATTTTCTTTTCAACCAGAAGAAGCCGGAGTAATATGTCCAGGGCGATGAGCCCAAAGGCCATATAGTACACAGGATAATATCCTGCTTTCTGATAGACCACGCCACCGAGCAATGGAGCACTTAGAATGCTTACTGACATGCTGATGCTGGTCCACCCCAAGACCGTCCCAATCTCTGCTTGTCCCACGGTGTCGACCAACAATGCGAGCCCCACCGTCCAAACAACGGCAGCCGATGCGCCTTGAAGCAATCTTCCAACCACAAGCAGTGAAACGGTTCGTGCGAGACACAACATTAACGTCGCACCAGCTAGGGCCAATAGGCCCCCGAGAAGAGGCAGCCTCCTGCTGGAAGACCTATCGGCATAGAATCCAGCGAATGGGGCGCAAACAAGGAGAGCTGCTCCGTACACTGCAAGGAGAATACTAGTATAGCTCTGAACCGATGATGGGGCAACGCCAGCTCGGGATGACAGAGCGAATGGAATGACAGGAACGATCATGCCGTAGAGAAATGTGTCGGTGGCTACAGCTATGCATATTGTCGTTAAGATGAACAGCCTGGAGGACCGCACATGAAGGAGGTAGGGTGGAGGTGTGGTGGCGTTAATCCGCTCTCCCGACAAAAAGCTCCGCAGTCGACCCATTGTTTATACTGGTAAACATCAATGATCTTGGTGAAGCAACATGTCATATAAATTACAGACGTATACGCAGTATGTTGGCATGCTGATAGTACATATTCAAGAAGATTGGGTTGAAGGAGAACGTCCCATCATCTCTAGGGACGAGCGGGCAAGAGTGGGACAGGGGATTTTCAGTGAACAGTCACGCCTTGGAGGAAATAAAGCGGCGCGAAGTTTCAATGTCCTCCTTCATTCAAGTTGGACATTAGAAAGCAATTTTTTTCAATTTGTTCTAAAGTCTCATGCACAATTAGAGGGAGTATGCTTAGAAAGTGCAATTATATAAGGGAACATTTGGACAAGTAGGGTTTGCGGTGTTCAGCTTCGCTCAGGATACTTGGAAATTGAGTGCGCTCCCGCTCACCAAGTCCCGCCTGGGGAAGCTTCAAGATAAACGGATTAGCGTCGTTTCCAGTCCATCTGACTAATATAAGAAACAAATCCTTCCCTCCATATCTTTACTCATGAAACATTCGCATACTCACGAAACCATCACCGTAAGCCCAGTGGTGCCCGAACTATCTCCAGATTGAACGAAGGGGTGGAGGCCACAAGAGCTTCTCTCATTCGTTCCTTTCCGTGTGAAGTTCGGGGAGGCCGCACCAGTTCGCATCCGCACCAATTGATGGTTGTTCCTTCCTCTGATGACTCAACCTCCTTCAGACCTTCTTCTTTGAGCCTGTTGAATGTTGATCTTTACTATATCTCCATCGTCTTCGCCAGATGTTTTCGCTCCTGAACTTCCTACTTCTGCTCGAGACTTCCCATCAAGAGATTGAAAGGTTCATCACTTCATGTTCATCCAAGATGCAAGTGTGAGGATAAGGCATCCATTCGTTCTTTCTCGAGTCCACTGCGCTGTGCAAGGTCCTTGCGGCGGAGTCTTCATCGTGCAAGCAGACCAGCGGTATCCATGGTACATGAGCCGTGCCACTCTCACCCCCATCCCGAGACTGGCCCCCCGTCTTGGGAGACCGAGATCCCGACCTGCACAGGTATCGTCTCTCCCACCTGCCGAATCAGTTCAGCCTCGTATTGCGCACTGCTGACTCTTTTATACCTATCCTTGCGATTAGATGTCCCAAATTTGATACCCCAATCAGAGTCTCACCTACCTTCCGTGCCCCGCTTCGTGGATTATTCATGGCATGTTTATTGTTCGAACCATAGTTGGTTCAATTCTTGAGAAGGAGTTTCCTATTGCCTGATTTTAAGCCTCTGCGGAGAAGCGCAGTTTTGGGCAAGCTGCATCCATATGGCTGCAACAATGACCACAAGAATCCTTGAGATATGTTTCATCTGCACATACTGTACCTGTGACCCCGCATGCGTCTGCTGTCACCTGTTCTTCTTTTGATCATGAGCCTCATACTAAAGCTGCTCAAACATTTCTGGGGTATTTGTGCGTCTATCCGCGAGAGGTGGAGTTTGCAGACCTATCGAGTGGGAGGTGCTGTGAGGTTCTGCGGGGCGATGCTTCCGTGAGGCTCGATTCGAATGAGCCACGAGAACTCAGTCTGCCTCATAAAATGCGGGGCTGCCACAGCATGGTGCCAATACTGCAGTGCATCGACACTACGACCATTCGCGCATTGAGACGCCCTGTTTCTAAGGAAGTTTGGGACAGCAACTCAGCGTGCTGCATGAGCAACATTCCCTGGAGGCTGGGTTCCACAAAACGAAAGACCCGGGCCGAATATCGAAGAGGCTTTTCACCAGGTATGGCATGTATCATGTATGGGATAAAGTATAGAAATATATGCCTGAGTGCGTTGGTGGAAATTTTCTATTCCCTGGATCTGAGGGGGAACGGCGATCTCCTGGAAAAAAATAGGCTGTGAGGCTCAAAAACCCCTCAACACTTTTATTCGTGGTGTGGCGGGACGGTCGCACATTGGTGGGCCTAGCTTATTGATTTGCAGGGGTCGGTTTGAGTGTCTTCGCAGAGCCGCAGAGCCGCAACTTTTTTGCGTTGCCCGCCTGGCGCGAGAAGAACCCGGTGCCCGTGAGTGGCCAGGCCGGATGTTTGGGGACATGATGCAGTGCACATCTGTCTTCAGTACCACCCTTAAAGCCTGTTATCTGTTTTCGCTTTAGCCGTGCAGGGACTAAGAAGGAACCAGTCTGAGACGGAAAAAGAAAACTGCGAAGCTTCCTTCTCTTTCAGTCTTTCTGGTCACGAGAGCCGCGTTGAGAGACGAAAGAACTAGAGGCAAAGTCACTGACTTGGTAGGAGGATAACATGGGATTGACTTGTCGAATTCAAAGCCACGCGGTGTCATCATTAGATCCATCTTACAACATGTTTTGTTGGCCTCGCACCTAGCCCATGCGCAAGTTTCAGCCGCAGAGCCTCCAATCGGACCAATGGGGTTAGTCCATGCAGATTGGCGGAAGCCGCACCGAGACACGAAGCCTCATTCCTTCGGTCATTCTTCCTGGTTGGGCCTCGATGACAGCATGGCTAGCGGAACCACTTTGATGAGGGTGGCCGCTTGCCCAATATCATACGTTGTTCTGACAGGTGTCAAGCTCTCAGGGACCTCAAACCTCGGCAATGTAATCTGGATACGGAATGAAATGCCTGTTCCAAGCAAAGGGTCCAGATCCAAGTCATGCTTATGCGGTGAATGATGAGGGGGTTCCTCAATGTGCCACAAAGAAGGAGCCTCAAGTCTCCTGCAAATGTTGAGCCTCCTCGCCAGCGATATAAGTCCAGTCTGCATTCACGACTTTTGTTCAGTCTCCATTTGGTCATTGCTCGCCTCGATTTACTCTCCGCCAATCGCCAATGCAAAACCTTTACATAATTTTCGGTATAGGTTCGTATCCATCTTCCTTTCCGTAAACTATTTTACTCGTGTAATTAATTTGCTTTTGCATCCAGATAACTCTGGTCCAACTCCCTCGGAAGGGCCTAATGTTTGGTTTAATATCCTTACCATACGAGGTTTTATCAAATATCATTGATAATATCAGCTTTGATGATGCTTTCAATCTTGGTCGAAGCTGCAAGCATTTCAAATACCTTTTCACGGAGGAGAGTATATCCAAGACGATCGTGCAGGTGAGCCATTTTGCATTTCTGGGGTCCTGCACCTTCACGACGTAGTCAGATTTCCACTTTTCAGCTGCTGACACATATTGCAGACAAAAGTGCGATATTCCAATGAAGCCCTGGCCGCGATGACCGTTGGTGGTGGCAATGCTAGAGCACTCCGCAGGGTGGCTAAGAGACGCGACGCTCTCGCCACAGCGAATCCCTTTGTTGTAGCGACGATTGGATTCTGTGATGCTTACCTCTATTGTAAAGGTGTCCTGTGCTACACTCTTGATGACAAATTACGACTTTTAAATCTGCATCATTCGGCTCAGGACGAGCTCGTAATCAGTATCCCTGGCCTCCTCACCCAAGCCCTCTCTGAGATCGGCGATCATAGCAGAGGGGTATTCCAGGTATTACATTACTCCGACAAGATCTTATCATGTCTTTACAAATCTTCGGGCCCGGAATCAACAGCATGGCTAATAGCGTTCCACCTGGGGACGAGAGGAATCCTAATTGTACATGAACTGGAGTCTATCGACAAAATATTTGTGCGCCATAACAAGCAATACCTCTATTATGGAACGCATTCAGAAATCGGAACAGACGGAAACAGAAAATGGGTAATTCAGGGGTACGATTTCAAGACACGGAAATGGTTCGACCAAAAGATACATCTCCCAGATATGGTAGGTTCTGAGATTGGTTCGACAATTTGTTTTGAATTTCATAAGGACTATTTCTATGCCCTTTCCAATCAGACCTCTTTCGAGGTCGAAGAAATAGATTGGACCTCCTTCTATCACTGTATTCGGTTTCCTTTGAACTCTCCTTGCAAAGCGCTTCTGGAAAAGACCGAGAACAAAAGCATGTGGAGAAGACAGCATCAAGAAGGCCCAATCGATGACAGATGGACTAATCTTCGTTTGGACGAGGACGAGAGCTCCGGTCGGCTCAGGATTGTGGAAGCTCGAAAGGAATGGTACCTGGGGTCCAGCAGAAGTCAGCGAACATACTACACAACAGACATAATATTTCCAAAACTGGAGAAGGACGACGAACTACATCTAAACGACTTGCCCACAGCCTCTTCCTCTGACTCCAACTTTGCCTCTCCATCCATCTCCTGGGCTCATGCGTCTCAATCGGCCTCCACCTCTGCGTCCTCCTCATCCTCTGCAAGTACCGCTTCCTCGTCAAATACTGCCTCCACAGACACTTCAAACACCACTGCCTCGCATCCCTCCGAAGACATGGATATATCAGAGCTGCCCGATGTACCGCTTCTCCGACTGCTCCGAAAGGACGATCACCCGCACCACATCAAACCTCCCGCTCGTCTCCCCCAAAATACCCACCCTGGAAACGATGGCTCCTCGCAACCAACTTTCACACTAGCCAAGTCGCGCATACGAACCTACTACACCTCATGCAGCGCATTTCTTGATCTAGTCGATGACCCGCTCCCTACGGATTGGCAAGGCAGACAGAGGCTCCGCTTACGGGCGGGAAGCCGAAGTCTCGGGCCGCCCCTTACTTACATGAACGGCCGCAAGCAAGGCCTCCTCCGACCCCCTTCATCCGATCTCGACATTGCCCTAGCGGAGATGTACCGCGTTCCCGAGATCATATACTGGCCTGCCTCACAAAACCCAGAGCCCAGCCTCCGAAATAAGCATGTCGATGCAATCTACAGGCTCATGAATCCTCCTAGCCATCTGGGCAACGTGGAAGGGACAGCAGATGAGAGAAGTATGGTCTACGTTACAGGGGCGAGGAATGAGCCACAAGCGCTTATCTTCATCGCTTTTGATCCAGCGATCAAGCTTGCTGGTTTGAAGAGGTGGGGTGGTTTGTGCCGGAAGGGTGTGGGAGAAGGGCCGCACATAGATGGGAGGGCAACTGGGTACGCTGCTGAGGAGACAGGACTCAAAGGGGACACATATGTTGACGTGGACGAACGGGATAGGACGGTTACGGTGGACAGGAAAGGCAAGGGCAAAGAAAGAGTGAGGTGCAGCGATATCGCGGTGATGCAGAGCTGCGAAACGGTCGATGTACATGACAGAGTCGCTTTCCCGGGGAGCAAGGTGGGGGTTGGGCTTCGACGGAACGCTTGGGCTTGGAAAGAGAGGGCGATGTATCAGGACATAAATCTTGGCTACTACTTTGGTATGGAGCATGTTGGATGAGGGATTTGGATGAAAGGTAAGTGCGTTGATTGTCTATGTTGGTGGCATATTGAGTGCGCGTTGCTCGGGCGCAGGTTTTCTTTTCTGTGCCGCCTCGAGCAGATCAATAAATCGTTCTCCGACCATTTTTGGGTACACGTGTGCTAGCTGCAGGCTCCTGTGCGGGTGGTAATGGATATCTTGGAAGTGATCCCATTTGAAAGAGAAAAAAAGGTCTTCAGTGCAGCCAGCGGCTCAGTTGGGCAGCTATGGCGCAATATTGTGCTACTAATATTGGTCCTTGGGAGTCTTCAGTTAGTGGATCTTCCAAAATTAGATGGACATTCGCTGTTCTCAATGGCATGTCGAATAGTGGAAAAGGTGTGGCAGAAAGCTTTGAGAAAGTGAGGCTGCAGGGCATTCTGCCTTCGCTTAGCTCGGTGAACAAGAGACATGACATCAAACCTTCTACGCCCGACTACTATAGAGGTTCGCTGCAGGTGGCACAGGCGAATCAAGTCAGGCTTGCAGATTCGCTGTTCCGACAGTCAGATATTTTGTACGAGCGCATATAAGCTTCTGAATGATAGCTGGCTTTGAAAAAGAAAATAGATACAAGGGGAACGAGGGATGAAACCACCTTAAGACGTTGAGCCGTGTGGGGGATTGTGAGGCTCTTTTGACAGGAGTGGGATGTTTGGGTGGGGGATCCGCTGCAGGATCATAACCCCAGGATTGCCTCGCGGTTGCCTCGATCTGACAACGCACACGTCTAGATAGCAAGGTGCATGTGATCCACGAGAGGGGTAAGGCTTCGGGGTAAGATAAAACAAGGCCTGTAAGACGGTTGACTAGGGTTTTATATTGGGTACATGCTTCTCTCAATGCCTACTCCATCCGATGCAAAACCTCAAGTAGCCATGTCTGGCCGCAACTTCTGGAAGGCCAAAATCGGCTTAGACGCTCGTCTCGGGAACTCCTGAAAGAGCGAGTGAAAACGGTATGCCATCTTCAAACCGCTTTAGTTCACTTTGACATAGTTTCCTGGTTCACAAGTTAGCTTGTCTACCCGTTTGTAACCGTTAAGGAGAGCAAGCGCACCTGGGAACTGTCCTTCCTTCCCCTTGAGCTTCCCAGTCCACCATTCGTTTTCATTATTCGTTCTCGTCATAATCTCAATCACGTCTCCAGTCGTAAAACTTAGATCGCCTTCGGCCTGAGCCTCATAGTCATAAAGTGCTGTAGCGGTTTCTGCTGCAGGCACGCCGCTCAACCTTAAAGGCTTGGGCTTCGGGGGAGGTGGAGCTGCCCCCTTTGCTTTTGCTGCTGCCCCCTTTGCTTTTGCTGCTGCCCCCTTTGCTTTTGCTGCTGCCCCCCACGAGGAGCTCGTGGAGTTAGCTCGTGCGACAGTCGCATCACCAGGTGATAACGAAGTTGAATAAGGTGGGGGTGGATTTTCAGAAGAGTCTGAAAATGACGACCGGCTTGGGGCGGGCAGGGCTTTAGGAGAAGGTTTACCTGCTTCGATGGCGAGCTTGCTTCCTGGTGCACCGAGTCGTCCAGGGGGGCGTCTTGCCCCTGCTGTCTTGAACTTGACGATGGAGAGCGCCTCTGCTAGCTCTTTGATATCGCCTCGTTTCGCCTCGTATCCTTCTTCGACGTCGAGCTGGAGGTTGAAGTATCCAATATCGCATCCTTGCATCTTCTCATGGAGCGTGTAGAAGACGTTGAGTTGCATGTAATAGAAAGACTGGAACAATGGCCGGATAAACTCACGCTCCAGTTGGAAGAGCTTCGGTAACTCGTCCTTCAACAGGTCATTGTACGCGTTGAACTCCTGGGTGGATTGTTCCACGTCGTTTTCTGCTTTGTACATCGCTTTTTCATCCTTTAGACTCTTGTCCTTCTTATCTTGCAGCTTTTTCAAAGTCGCTCGGTGCCGGTCATAGTCTAATTGCTTGTGCTGTCGTTTCGTTGCGGTCTTTCTTATGACTTTGATGATCTCCAATAACTCATCCGCAGGCTTAATTACTCGTGTTTCGATCATCTCTAGCTCGGGTTGAAGGGTGGCCAGGAGATCCTGCACAATCGACTCGTATTCCTCACAAGCCCTGATGCCTTCTGGGTTCCCTTCCTGGACTATCGAGTCCGGATCCGACACACGACCTGAAATGGGCTTGTAAATTTCCGCGATAGCCTTGGAGAACTCGATTTGGTGGGTCATCATCCCGTTAATTGCGTCAAAGTATTTTTTGCTCTCGTCGTGGAGTTTCTTCGTCTCCTTCTCCAACTCCTGGAACCGCCGTTCCGCATCGATATAGACGGCATCCTTGGTATTCTCGCCCAAGTTAAATTTCGCCTTGAAGGTTTGAGGCGCCTACCACTTTGTCAGTATTCTGCGACAAACCCCGCCTTTCCCCGGAGCAGGCTTACTCGAATCACGCTCTTCTGGAAACCTTTGAAGCTCATTTCCTCCTCACTGTGTTAGATCTCCCTTGGAATCTTAACAGACTATCGCAACGTGCAGGGTAATGGCTGCGCGGATTGCTGGTGGGGTGGAAGAATTCACAGTTGATTGTTGCGTGAGGTGTTCTTGAGGCCTGGCGATCGTGGAAAGCAACCGGAGACAGACGATGACGAGGACTGGCTGTGGCTTAGCCGCCGCCCAGCGCAGAAGTGGTGGAATTCTCGTAGCCTGGGATACAAGTTCCTTCTAGCAGCAGTGTTGCTGGATAGGTAGTAGATTGAGTCTATTGACAATAAAGAAACCCGAGAATGTCCGCGACATGAAGACGGGTGCAGTGAATAACCCTGGAAGTTGGATTTCGTTCGCAAGTCCCCACCATGCATGATGATGCCGCACTGGCCAATCAGAGCTGCTATCGCTTCTAAGGGCATTTTAGCTCGTCGTGTGAAAGGCGTATAAAATATCTTTGCCTCTTCTCCGGTTTATTCTGATCTTATCAGATTCTTCCCAACGAGCACACCAATATGTCCGGAATAGCTTCAAAGTCATTGCGACAGGCATCCGGCCTGTGCCTGAAGCAACCCGCTTCTGCTGTTCTGTTGCGTAGCACTGCAACAGCTCGAGTGGCGGCGACAAGCCTAAAGACCTCAAGAAGAGGATATGTTTCGGCGACGAGGAAAGATAGTGCACAGGTCAATGTCGACACCGCAATCCGTGCAGAGCAGAAGGCTTTCTTCGCGGAGACTGGTAAGCTTCCGGAGAATCAGAGCATTCCGGGGACCAGTGCAAACGCAGAAGCAATGATGAGTCCAATGGCTGGTATGCAGTGAAGCATGGAAGAAGTTCAATTTTGGCTCACAATTTTGTAGGTGTTCTTAAGCAAGCTACCGTCATGGACGAAGGCCAAAGACCAATTTACCTGGATATGCAAGCTACGACTCCTCTCGACCCGCGTGTGTTGGATGCCATGTTGCCATTCTATGCCGGACTTTACGGCAACCCTCACTCGAGAACGCATGCTTATGGATGGGAGACTGATAAAGCCGTTGAAGAAGCTCGACAGCATGCTGCCGATTTGATTGGCGCAGATCCCAAGGAGATCATATTCACGAGTGGTGCTACTGAGAGTAACAACATGAGCATCAAAGGAGTTGCGAGATTTTTCGGGCGCGCGGGAAAGAAGAGGCACATTATCACGAGTCAGACGGAGCACAAGTGCGTGTTGGACAGTTGCCGACATTTACAAGACGAGGGTTTCGATGTCACATACCTTCCTGTTCAGCCCAGCGGTTTAATCAACATGGAGGAGCTCGAAGCCGCAATCCGGCCAGATACGGCTCTTGTCAGTATTATGGCTGTCAATAATGAGATTGGTGTCATACAGCCATTGGAGGAAATTGGCAAACTTTGCAGGTCGAAGAAGGTGTTCTTCCATACCGATGGAGCACAGGCTGTTGGAAAGATACCAATGCATGTGAACAGGATGAACATCGACCTTATGTCGATTTCATCACACAAAATTTATGGACCAAAGGGAATGGGAGCCTGTTATGTCCGAAGGCGACCGAGAGTGAGGATTGACCCCATCATCAGTGGAGGTGGCCAAGAGAGAGGTCTGCGAAGTGGCACTCTTGCCCCTGCTTTGGTCGTTGGATTTGGTGAAGCTTGCCGGATTGCTAAGGAGGAGATGCCTGTGAGCCCCCAAAAACCCTTTCGTTTTCCGCGTTCAAATGATGATCTGCTTTACATATGCATGGCTTTCCTAGTGATCTCCTTGCTCGCAAGTTGAGACTTCCTTGACGAAACACAGTACCTTTTCTGATTTATTAATTTTGCCGTCCTGTTACCGGAGAAAAACGTCTGAAGATCGACTAACTCTGATATAGTATGATTCTAAACGAGTCAAGATGCTCTCGGACAGACTTCTCAACGGGCTTTTGTCGATGGAGCATACCACACAAAATGGTGATCCAGAACATTTCTACCCTGGATGTGTCAATGTTTCTTTTGCCTACGTCGAAGGCGAGTCTCTTTTGATGGCCTTGAAAGATATTGCGCTCTCATCAGGAAGCGCATGCACGTCAGCATCTCTCGAGCCCAGTTACGTCTTACGAGCACTTGGCAGCAGCGACGAGAGCGCACATAGCAGTATTAGATTCGGCATTGGACGATTTACAACGGAGAGCGAGATTGATTATGTCTTGAAGGCCGTGAAGGAGCGTGTGACTTTCTTGAGAGAGCTGAGTCCTCTGTGGGAGCTGGTCCAGGAGGGTATCGCTCTGGACAGTATTGAATGGAGTCAGCACTGATTGCTTTGGAACGGAACTCGGTGTTTGGCGCATGGGTTACGTGGTTATGGCTTTGTGTTTTCGGATGTACCATATTGAGCAGGTCGAGTTACCTGAATGTATACGATCGTTCGTAAGGACATATTCCGCTTCACCAATACATCATGATATGGCCGTACAAGCCATGTCGCTCGTGCATCCACTAACTCTTCTCTCTCTGTGTGAAGCTGAGATCCATTGTTTCTTAACGCCAGTGATGCCCGCCCAACCATCTATTACACAACCATGTCATCGATCGAGTCCACCCATAATCGACCCCAGCTAGCCATCGCCTTCATATCATACACGTTCTCTTCCTCTCCAGTCGCCTCATATTCACACATTATACAACCCCGTCATGTCCCTCTCATCTTCATCAGCAACTGGAGTCGATATTTACAACCTATAAGATAATCGTATCAGCCACCATTCCGTCAAGGTCTGCAGTACAAAGGACAAACTCACGGCGGAAGCAAAAACTCGCTCCAAGAACTCGAGAAGAACGCAACGGCAACCTATAAAATAGCCAATTAGCCGCCAGTTCTATGAACTCCTCTCCTCTCTGCATATCTGTATTTCTCAATCCCTCTCCTCCCACGCCCAACGCCTCATCTTCCTACTCCCGACATACACTCCAAATAGTCCACATGCATCTCAAGTCTAGAAGCGGGAGAGGGGAAAACATACCCCGAATACTGCAATGCTCCTCACAACGCTCGAATTCTCAGGTGAAGTCACTGTGTTGTATGCGCTGGAGAAATAGCCCTTTGGTTGGGCACGGCGGGGGTCGGCCTTCTGAACTTGGATGCGTTGCTGTTTAGGTGCCATTTTGGGGATTGTGAGAGATCGTTTGTGGTTTGTGGGAAGGTTGACGTGTTGTGAGCTGCTTGTTGTTAATGGCAAGCTCTTCGGCTCCTTTTTTTTTTTAGTTTCTTGGGCATGTAGTGCATTTTGGTGCCTTGTTTTTGAGGCCTGTATAGCACGTGATCAGCGGGGAAAGGAGGTGTTGGAAGGGGCCAAAGGAGGAGATGAGAATTCATTTGACCTCGCTTATTTAGAACCAGCTTATCACCTTGATGTTAGAACTAGGTTCTTATTCTCATTGATCCCGTACTTCCATGCACATTGCAGCCCGCCATCTCCACTTGGTCCAGTACGTGTTAGCCGCCCCTGAGCTTGTCAGCGGCATCCCAGATGTACCAGATCCGCTAGGTTAATTATCTATCAATTATAAATCAACCACCCTTAATTCCATTGCACGGGATACTCAGGCCGTAATGCCTTGGACTTGTGAGTTTCTCCGCTGGTCTCGGGGGATGAGCCCCTATTCGCTGAATAAGCAAGACATTACTCTCCTGACCCTCACTTAATTCCATGGATCAGAAGTCACTGCATTCCAAACTCCACTTGAAGGCGCCATTTCCAGCATCGCTAAACAGGATCATAGAGGGTTGAGTTATTATGTCAGGGAAGTGCTCGGTCGGTCACGGGTTCTAGCGGAGGTCCTTTCGGCCCTTGAGTTGGAGGCACCAACGGCCAGCTTTTCTCAATGGGATCCAGATATACAAGTGAAGAGTTTACGATGTGGTGGGTTTCCTGCTATCAGAATCGGACACTATGATCCTAAAATCCTAGATCCTTTTGAGAGTGGAGTATAAGTGCATTGTGGTTTGTTGTCAAGCAAAGGGCCATTCATCGCCAACATCTTCCTCATTTACAACAATCACCCAAACCCAACAAGTACAATCTTCTCAAGGCACCCACACCAACACCATTTCCACCATGACCGCAAACATCAACACAATTCTCATTCTCGGAGCCACTTCAGGCATCGGTGAAGCGTTTACTCGCTACTTTCATATCAAAGGCAAGACCGTCATAGCAGCAGGCCGTCGTCTCGAACGTTCGATGCCCTGAAATCGGAGCTCAAAAGGCCTAGAAACCTTCCAAACCAACGTCGAGAATGTCCAGACATCGAACCCAAGCTACTGAGACTCGTCCAGAGCTTCCCAAACCTGGACAGCGTCTTCCTCGTATCAGGTAAAATGGAGCTTGGGTTTTTCAGCGATCAATCATCGACCAGCACCAACGCCCATTGTCTCCGAGATCGCCACAAATCTCATTGCCCAGATTGCCTTCACAAGGGCGATCGTGTCGCATTTGCTGTCTTTGAAGAAGCCGGCGACCTTCATTACTGTGACTTCTGGGCTGGCATTCATCCCTCTTCCGTTGTATCCTGTTTACAACTCAACGAAGGCTGGTCCTCACACCTTCAATGTAGTTCTGAGAACACAACTTGCCGGTACAAATATCAATGTGATCGAACTCGCTCCACCATACGTTAACACGGGGTTGGATGAGAGGTTCAGAGAGAAGATCATTGATTGCAAGATGGGCCTGAGAAAGCCCATCCTCCAATACCGCAGAAGGATTATATAGACAGCGCAACCGCTGTGTTCGAGAAAGCAGGCCAGAAGGAGATTGCAGTTGGATTCTCGCAAAAAGGGGCCGATGCATGGAGGAGAGCGTTTGGGCCGATCCTGAAGGAATTCGAGGATAGCGTGTTGTCGCTTATGAGGTGATAGAGTTGCGATTTATGTAGTCGGAAAATGGCCAGATTTTGATTTCCGTGACTTCCATGTTGTTCTCTAGCGCTTCAAATTCGGCAAGGTTATCTTGGCCTTGTAACTGGGGGTTCCCAACCGCTTGATCCCAAAGATCCTTCGAAAACAGGTTAGATAAACAGTGCCAGAATATAGGAACGGCAACTTACCCAATTGAAGTCTCCTGGTATGGTGAGATCAGACCCCAAGTTATCCAAGAAATCAGTTTCCATATTAACGTCAACACCAGAAGGCGAATCAGCTATGAGTGGAATTCCTAGCCCAAACTGGTCTGTGAAATACGGGCTGTATCGCAGCGAGTCGACGTTTGGGTTTGTGGCAGAGGCTGACAAACTATCTTTCGTCACAGGGACATTCACGGCCCTCTCCTGTTCTTCCTTATAGAGGGACAGCTTATTAAGGACTGATGTGAGAATGCTAACCGCCCTGCGAGCATCTCGAGAGTGATCGATCACCTCTGCCCATATAGCTCGAGATCTTTGAATGGCCTGGAGTTTCGCAGATTCTGGAATGATGCACTCTGGGATATCGGCCCTAGTTCTCTTTATTAAGCTCATAAGATCCAGACAAATAAGCATTGCAGCGAGCAAAAAATCGTGATTCGTGATTGGAAAATGATACCATTTTATTGTCTGGAGAATTCCTCCCGTTCGGGCAGCGCGGTGCATGGATGCTTGCATATCAAGGAGCTGAGATCTCGAGTCAGTCTCCGTCTATCGGGAATTTAAATGTGCCCGGCTCTTCGGAAGCATTCCGCACAGGAATTTTGAAATGTTCCACGACTCGTGGGTCAGAGACGGAGCTGGAGAATGGACATACAGCAAGTGCAGCAGACACGCTAGACTTGATTGAATAGAATGAGGCATCCAGGGAGTTAGAATACCAATATTTCCGGTGCAAAAGACCTGGCGGGGTAGTTAGCAATCGCTTGATATAGATTGTTTCGGGAGAACTGGGATATTGTCTAGGGACAAAATCACGAGGTTATCTAGGATAGGAAGGGGTCCTCTCCCAGAAACCTACATACTACAACACAGGATGTTCGATTAGCAATGCCTTTAGAGGATATAATTTGGGGTTGAGACAAAGTCTCATGAGTAACTCGCTCTCAAGATTAGCTTGGGAGTAAAAAGCTAACAAGACATTTGAATTGCGAAGCAATACTCTAAGAAATTAGGGACTTGCTCGCTTTGTTATAAAACAGCTGCATTATATATCTCTCCATCACTCGGGATGGTGGGTCGTTGGCCATTTCCTCCAGCGTTCTTAGCTCTAAATGTGGCGGAATATTTGCCCTTGCTTCCATGAGTTTCAAGTCAAGTTTCAAAACCTATTCCCAAAGAATCGGAGTCAGCATACTTCTTTCAGGTATTTCGGGAGCAGATGTTCCAGCAGTTGTTGGACATTGCTACAAGGGGAATTGATACTCCGAGAACTTGGAGCTTACCTCTTCGTATGGTTGCGGCTCCAGTATATTCAAGAACTCCATGACATGCCTGGAAAATCTCGATTCAGTATTGCTTGGTTAGGAACTTCCAACTCCCGAGGCAATCGCGAGGAAACGGGGGTGGATGTGGAGAGTCGGAATGTCTCTCACGACACATCCAAATACATGGGGATAAATTCGAGAATATGCATACCCATAAGCGCGCATGATTTGCAGTTTGACGACTTGGTACGAGATTTCTGTGTCTTCGCTCACAGGTCGAGATGGTGGAAGCTCTTTCATGTCTTCATATAATTCCTCTTCATAAAGGTTCCGTGGTGGTTGAGTATCGCATTCTGCATACCTGATGCATTTTGGAAGGCCGATCTGGATGGAGAAAAGAAGGTCGTGCTGGCTTACTGCAGACCATATCCGACGTCTCATTTCGCCTTGGAAGACGGACAAATTAGGAAACTGAGAGGGGTCACGATGGTAACCTTGTTGTAGAGCCAGGCGAATCATTGTACCCGAAAGCAAATAAGTGCCCATGTCGCCTTAGCCCTCCAGAATCTCAGATTAATATTGAGTGGAGAGGATGGAACTTAGAGTTAAGATACTATCTCATGAGTGGTCTACACCCGAGATATGGCTCGGGAGTAAACAGCTCGCAAGACAAGTGGGGCAGGAAAGAATACTTGACGGAATCAAGACTTACCATCTCTCTCATCAGCATACTCGATGGTTGCATATAGATACAGCGTCTCACACATGAAATCAACCTGGATCAGTCAGTCCGAAATCATCTCGAAGTGTCTGCCCCTTGGCTGGGCTCTCACTGGTTTCGTAAGATCCGCGATTGTCAGACACTGTGCAGTTCGAACACGGTATAGCTGTATCAGTGCAGGAGCCGTTCCATCATACTCCGGCGGCACCTCGTTGATACGAGTGTACGATTGCATAGCAATGCAAAGAATGGAGAATAGCATTCCAACCCAGATAGTTTTTGTTTTTAAGGGATTGGTCCAGTGTTTATTATACTGCACAAGGTCAGCTCTCCGTTTAAAGTAGAATCAATTGAGGATTTGTGTACCTGCTTGAGGAACGTGGCTTTGTGAAGGACATCTGGTTGACCGTGAGTATGGTGCGAACTTCTGCAATGGCATAAACTCACATCTAGCAGGAATGGCTGGATTGTAGGACTGGAAGAAGCGTGTCACAAGCTTGTCAGCCTCCTCTCTGGAAGGAAGTGAGGCGACAATTGTTGATCGGTCTGGAGGTTGCGTCAAGCCAGAAAGTAAGCTTGGTCGATGATCCTTAGTAATGGGAGATTGCGAGCCACTTGAGAACTTTATCTTGTCGTTCTCTTCACTCCATGCATCTTTCATTGCTCCAAGGTCATTCAAAATCGCATCCCAGTGTGTAGACCGAGTGTCTATTGATATGCGCTGGCCACCAGCTTGATTGAAACTCTCAGTCATGCTGTTGCCATTTGTATCGTGCAATTTGGAGTGCTTGTCCCGACTTGCTGTTTTCTCGTCACTTGACATCATGGAGAGGATGGAATACTCAAGTCGATTGAGACGTTTGCGCATGTCCTCAGCGTCTGAGCGGGGATTCAACTTGGCAGTATTCTTCTTCTCAGCTTTTTCCGCATACGTGCAGGAAGCCGCATTGCTCTCCCCTCTGACAATGCAGTTCTGGCACGGCTTCTCTCGATTGCATTTCAACCTGGGCGACGTCAGCACGTGATTGTCTTCTTACCGGGCAAATGCTAGGAGATGAATCCTGTGCTTTCGATGGCAAGGGGGAATCCCCTCACTTCCTCACTCTGCATGCTACACATGAAAGAGGCACCCGTCTCCGAGTCAAACGCTGTCCGTTCGCTCGGTGTCCAGGTCGTTTGGGAGCATCCATCGTTGGAGGTGGTAACACTTGGGCGAACCAATCCGGGTCCGACTTATTATGAAAGCTATACCCCTATCATGCCTGAGAAGGTAGCAGGTTAGTCTCGGCAACGAGGTTCCACCTTAGTGATAGTTGGTGTGTAGTCTTTCAAATGTTCGACGTTGCAGGTCCCAGAGTTGATGCCGATGCTGACAAATTCAAGCAAGAGAAGCGATTCAGCCACAGGACCACGGGCACAGTTCGCTCTCTGGCCAATGATGAGCTCGCTTGATTGACCGCCGAAGCGGCGGACGGTCGACGTTGATCATCCTGCTACTGTATGCAGGGATGGCAAGGCTGCAACATGCTGACAATGGAATGTCCCCATACCTATCTCCACCTCCGAATGTTTCTGGCTTTCCTCCCGCTCATCTTCTGTGAATATATTTTTCTGGCCTCTGTTTGCTTACTCTTTATCAACTGAAGATCTCACACATGTCCTCGAGTGATTGAGACACCCTGTACGAAGCCCCCGCGAACCGGTCTCTCTTTGCTTTTATGTGAATCCGGTTTGCATAAGCTAGAATCCGACCACAAGTCTGGTTCAGCCGCCTTGAAGATGTCTTCTGTTGGTATTGCTAGTGTTGATGGAGAGCCTCCTAGAAAGAGAGTTCGTAAGGGTACTCGGAGCTGTTGGGAATGTAAGGCGACCTCGTAACCCCGAAGCTCTTCAAGCATGTGCTGATATTAAGACAGGCAAACGAAGAAAGGTCCGATGCCAATTGAGTTCTGAAGATGTCCCCGTCTGTTCGGGATGCATTTCTCGGGGGACGACTTGTCTAAGTCAGGAATATCCTGAAGAGCGTGACACTTCGGCGGGAAATCAAGTTGGCGAGAGACTCGGCCGTGTTGAACGACTGTTGGAGACATTGGTCTCAAAAATCGAATCATTCGAAGAAGAAGAGAATGTACACAAGATCATGACTCCAGAGTCTGTAGGAAATGATGTACTTACGCCATTCACCACGAATGCTTCCGCAAACCCTAACGTCGCCGACAATGCCCCTTTCCTCTCTCTTTTTGAGAACTCAGTTGTAGGTACCAAGCCCTCTAACCTCCCTACTGGGCTGACAATATTAGTTTGGTCGCCGTGATAACGTTCCATCACAAGTCACTTCCCCTGCGGCACCTACAACGGGAACGAGAACCCCCTCCTGCAGACCACCAAAGCTAGAAAGAATTCGACAGGCCTTGGTTGATTTGTTGCCATCTCAGCAAGATGCGGATCTGATCCGCGCTGCCAGCAGCTCCTGGCTTCTCCTCCATGCATTTAATAACCAAAAAGTGGAAGAAATCTCAGCTACAACTTTTAACATTCAAGAAGTTTCCAAGCGACATCCAACCAGCATTGCCCGGTCGATCCTGTTCATTGCGGTATGCGTACAACAATTAGACCCGAGTTTCGACATATCACGCCTGCACCTTCTACCCACCGTTGATGCCCGAATTGACAAATACATGACCACGGTTCAATCTCTCATAACCTCGGACGATGAGATGGTCAGCACCACTGAAGGCCTCGAATGTCTCATATTTCAAGGCTTATACCATATCAATGCTGGAAACCCACGACGTGCATGGTTGACATTACGCAGAGCTTTGAATCTCGGACAGTTGATGGGGATTCATAGAAAGAAAGGTTCTACGATTCCGGGTGGTAGACAGATGTGGTTTCAAGCAGTACAAGCAGATAGGTACCTTGTATGTATTTCACTCACTATTTCAAATTTGGCCCATTTGCTGATCGTACTCTTGTTTAGGGATTGCTCCTAGGACTCCCCTGCGGCTCGGCTGACCTTGAATTTGAGCCCGACGAGAATTTCCAAAACCCAAATGTGAACGTCGACGAGCTCTTTAATAGCAAGCTTTGCAATATAGTAGGCCGAGTTATTGAACGAAATCAATCCGAAAATTCTCAAGTTTATACCACCACACAAAATATCGATGAAGCACTCGAACAATTACACAACGATATGCCAACAGGCTGGTGGGAAATTCCTGCCTTCATTCCAAACGACGGTTCATTAGAGGCTGTGCAGATTTTCAATCGCATCATGTCAGAAATGTGTTAGTCCTCTTGTCTCTTAAAATTTATCTTCCTTGTCTTTATCATTAATCTCGATAGAACCTTACTAACTCTTGAGGGGTCGTAAAGGGTATTTTCAGGTGGTCGCGATTCTCCACCTTCCCTTCATGCTTCGAGCTCCCAAGGAAAGGCGCTATGAATACAGCAGATTTAGTTGCTTGAAAGCTTCCCGAGAGATGATTGACAGATATCTTGCCCTTCGGAGAGCCGGAACTACATCATTCTGCTGCAATGTGGTTGACTTTGGGGCGCTCACCTCCACTGTTACTCTTTACTTGGTGAGTATAATGGAGTCCGAGACAGGTGGTGAAAGTCAGGCACAACGCCAACAAAAGGAATCCGACAAGGCCATGGTCCACGCCGTGCTCAAACATATGGAGGATCTATCGCAGGGTGGCAGGGACTTCGTGGCAACCCAGAGCGTCAGTGTCATCAAGTCTCTCCTGGCAATTGGCTCTCCCGGCTCTCCCTCCGATCATCAGACCGGGAATCTCAAACTCACGATCCCGTATTTTGGTACAATTAGCATAGTCCGGCCTCCACCCGCGGAACAGAACGAAGCGTCAAATCTCTCGTACCTTCAACCATTCCCAGAGCAGTCTCTGCCCATGGGACAGGAACCAACTCCGCAATCTTGGCAAGGCTCCTACACTCCTCGAAGCCCAGGGTTTACAACTCAGACGAAAATGCCCATGATCTCCTTTTCGAGCTGTCAATTCCCTAACCTCTCGTGCCAAGTGCCATGTCAAACTGAACCTCAGCAACCACAACAACCACAGCAGCCACAACAAATACAAGACTGGAGTTTGCCAGAGGATAATCTTTTTTTTGATTCGCTGTTACAGACAGACCTGGAAGGAAATTGGATATATTAATTTTTGTGGGTTATGTGAATCTTCTGGAGTTTGGAAAAGCATTGCCTGACGCAAATATTCCCGAGGGGATGGAACAACGGCGTGGCGCAAAATGTACAGTACTCAAAAAGGTCTTTAGAAAACTATTGAGTTTTCTTAATCTCAACTACTCTTAATTCCGTCCTTGTGGTACATCAGTTTCACTCGCTTGGGCTGAGGAGAGCTTGGAAAAGGGGGCGACTCGGCTAGAGCGAACTGACTCCTATGCATTGTACAAAACAGCCCTTGAGGAAAACACACTTGTCAATTACAGTAATGAGCGGAGCAACAAGAGTTGCAGCACACGGTCCCGACGCAAAGTCAGACGCTAACTGTAGACCTAGATTCTTCGTATCCCATACCGTGGGTACTACCAGAGGTATTTTCGTAACTTTATAATAGGAGATATGGGTTTTTATACTAGCTAGATATTTATCTCTTGTATACGACTATTAGACTATGGGCGACGGGCTATCGTGAAATTATTAAACCAATATTTGCCTAATTACTTAAAGATATAATTGCTATAAATACAAGAACTAGGGCCTAAAAGGCATAGTTAGATTATCTCAATTTTAATAATTCAAAGCTAAAGAAAGGAGGAGGAGGATCTCAAAGAAGCCTCGGAACTAAATAATTACGGAGCGTGTACAGGCCCACTGTGACGGCAGGAACAGAGCAATGGAACGAGGCTCAAAGATCAATGATTTCCTATGTCTTGAGAATTTAAAGCTAAGGAGGATAGGAGTGAGGTGTGGCAGTGGATAAGTAGGTATGGCCAAGACTACTGAAACGCCGAGCTTTGGAAGCGAGCTTGGTTTGAACCACGAGATCTGGGCCGCTTCGCTAAAATTAAAGACTGGCCCCGAAGCTTGCGTAGGGCCGCCAGGCTTTAATTTTGCCCTGATCTCGATTCGAGATTAATTGGATAAAGCTCTCTCTCTATTTTTATAAATTACTATACTCCTTAATTATACTTGCAAAGCTCTCCCTCCCCTTTTATAGGCCCTTTTAAGCCTTACTTTTACTTATTAAGCTCTCTCTCTTACTTAACCCCCCCTCCTTTTTTTATTAAATATAGCCACATTGCGCTCGCAAGCTCGCACTAATGTGACGTGTAAGCGTGCAGTCTTTTAAAGGCTTTTATTTAAATAATTATTGACTTCTAAAGGCTGTTTTCTATCGTCTTTTATAAGACATCCATAGCGTTTTATAGCCCTTACCTCCCTAAGCTCCTGCTCGCCCGATTTCCTAGTACGTACTTGTATATGTCTTTGAAGCTCGTCTCGATACCCTTGCTTGCTCCTTTCTTTGAATACCACATCGACGATTTGACTTTTGCTTCCGTTTTCGGCATATAGAGCACGTAAAGAATCGTCCAAATTCAGAAAGGGGGCGTTTTTGATTGCAACTGGAGCAGTATTCTAAGAGAAAGGTTAGTAAGTATTTACGGACAGGGTTTCCTATTTACGGGCTATAGGCTCGTCCGTAAATTGATCCACAGATACCTCTTTATTCGTAAATTTCTCCTCTTCGTCCGTAAGTCCCCCCTCTTCGTCCGTAAGTCCCCCCTTTTCGTCCGTAGGTCTCTCTTTATCTGCAAGTCCTTCTCCTTTGCCCGCAAGCCCCTCCTCCCTTTGTATCTCCAAATATTGGCTAGCCGTAAGCCAGCACCACGCTTCCTCTTGTTCTTGCTCCTGCTCCTGCTCCTGCTCTTGCTCCCCCCTCTTATACTCGTCCGTAAACTGCTATATATAGCCCCGCTACTTACTATTTGCAAGCTCTTACCGGATCGTTCTCTTCCCATTTCCTCTCTTGCTCTATCTCCCACTGCTTCTCCTCTTTATCCCACTGCCATTCATCGTCTTGTAATTGAGCCTGGAACTCCCTCTACTTCCTTTGGACCTCTCCTTCTGCTAGTGCCTTCTCCAAGTCCACAGGATCCCATATCCCACGCTTTTGTGCCCGTAGCTTTGCTCTCTTCGCCCGTAAGATCCGCCGGTCATGCCTTTCTTGTATAAATTCGCCCGTAGCTTTATGGTATTGGTTATGCTTTCATATGAGGCAGATTTCGCAAGTATAAAGTCGATATCCGTTCTCGTAAAAAGGGAAGCTTGTAATTGGGCGAAAGGACTTGTATCCGGAGTAGCGTAGCCGGTTTAAAGGGAGGGTATCTATTGGGAGCCTGCGGAGCGTACGGAGCCTATAAAGCCTGTGGAATTAGCCTATAAACCTTGTAAAAGGGAGCCTGTGGAACCTGTGGTACCTGTGAAGTCTATAGAGCTTGTGGAGCCCGTAAAGCCTGTAAAATGGAGCCTGAACTATGGAGCGGGCCTAAAGTTTTGGTGTTCCCGTATAGACGTATTCACGTGATAGTGTTAGTTTTCTCCGGAAAATAGCGAAAATATAAGATAGACGAGTTTAGGGCCGCTTCGCTAAAATTATTAATTGGCGGCCCTATGCAAGCTCCGGGGCCAATTAATAATTTTGCCCTAAACTCGTCCCGAGTGGGGTTGGAATTAAAGGGGGTATGTGACTTGGTAAAGGCCTTTACGGACGGTATAAGAAGGAGAATAGCCCGTAAGTAAGTCAAAAGCTAAGCAAGACCCTGTAATATTTCTGGGTATACTATATTACTCGTACGGTTTATATTAGGGGATAAAAGAATATAAAGCCCTGCTTGTGAGGTTACCCGTAAGGCTGCTACATAGAACTGGCCGTAAGAAAAGACCGGCGATTATAAATTCACCCCCACTGCCTCAAATAACTAGCCCTGCGACTTATTAATAGTCATTACAAAGGATAAAGCAAGTGGAAACTGCTTACGGGAGAGTATAAAAGATAGTTACTGATTTGTTAACTGGAGCTTAATCCGTGGAATTATCCGTAATTAGCTATTAAAGTCGCTACCTAGTAGCCATATGCGAATCGAGAACCTCCCAAAGCTATAAATCAATATCCGCAACCCGTTATAAAGCCCTTCCTGCGGATAGAGATTCCGCAAGAGTATTACGGGTGTACCGATTTTGAGTTATAGCTTGGAAAGGGGTAGACCCGGTAAACAGATGCTTTATAAGACCTCTAGAGGTAATTCTGCGATTTCAGGATCCGCCTCGTTTATATTAGCCGAATCTACTATAAAATACGTCCGTTCCTGGCCAGGAAGCATATCCAGGATTATTTAGTTAAGCTCGCGGACCGTATTATTCAGGATTAACAGGATTACCCGTCCGCTAAAGGCCTAGTAGTTATGCAGGGCCCGCAAGAGTCGCTCTTGCGGGTAGACGTAATTAATCAGGTCCGTAACTAACTAGGTACGCGGAATAAAAGGCGGGAGCGTAATCTGCCTATTTAAGGACGGGTTATACGGTAGATAACTAATCTAGTCTATAAAATCCTGCTCGGACGGGTTATTACGGACCCGCATATTAATCCGTAATAATAACTAACGGAGCCGTGGCCAGATCCACGTCTGCTATAGGCAGGCCCGTACTATATCGGCCCGCAAACCGTATGGGACCACTAGTAAGATCTGGGCAAAGTTCCCCCCGAGAATTACGGGTACCTCTCTAAAGAGAACGTCGTCCGCAACCGACCGTAAATCGACTATTAGCCGGTATACTACCTCAAAGTAGTACTTGTGTTATATGGGCACCTCGTCCCAGATAATTAGGTCCGTAGATCGCAAGAGCGCCCTGAGCCGGCTCGTCTTAGTAATCGTACTTACGGACGACTCGTTGAGCTCGAGCGGGATCCGGAACTGGGAGTGAGACGTGCGTCCGTCCGGGAGAAGAAGAGCCGTAATACCCGTTAATACTACATACAGGACTACCTTACCTTGGCCACGGTAATAGTAGCAGAGGGTCTTATAGAGGAACGTCTTACCGGTCCTGCCCGGGCCCTGCAAGTAGAAGTGAGCCGTCTGTAAATCGTCCGTAATTACCGTTATAATTATCTAGAAGCAAGAGCACTAGTCTACGTTTAGCTAGGCTTGTATTGCGGTCGCCAGTAACATCTTACGGGCGTAATTGACCCGTAGATTAGCCATACGGTGGCTTATGGTCTAGTCAAAGGTATTCTCAGGTAGGGTAATGTCCGCAAGCATTTGCTAGAGATCCGCAAGGCCGAGACCGAGCAAGAAGAGGCCATAATTATAGTAAGGGTTAACCAAGGGTAGCGGGAAGTCAATTAACGGGTCGCGGGCAAGCTTGCGGGCCAAGTTATTACAGAAATACTTCTTATACCGGTCCCAGATCACTCGCGTATCCATAATTAGTTACTAGCAGATACCTATAAGAAAGAGCGTCCATAAACCATGGCCAGTCATTAATAAAATAGCCTCGTTAAAGCACTAGAATTATTCCTAATTATTTTTTGCCAAGCCGCGGGTAATATAGGCAGTATAGTACGTGGGATAACGGACGCCCTTAACTAAATAGAGCTCATTAAAGAACCGCGGACCGTATATGACTATTAGTAAGAGCCATAAGTAAAACCGCTTACCCGAAACCGGGCTATAATAGTAAATACGGCTAATATTATACCCTTGCTCGCAGGGCTTCTATATCCGGGTCTTGGTAACCTATATAAAGTGCTATGGGAACTTATAGTAGAGGTATTAGCGGCCGTTCTCGTATATTACATTATACTTAAAGAAAGCTATTAAGGTTAAACGTGTATTTGTGGCCCGGTCCGTAATTTACTCGGGTAAGAGGTTATCTATAAAGCAGACTATATATTACCTAGGGAAGTAAATTACTAAGTACTAAATCGGGGAGAACTCCTGGTATATTAGGCACTTGAACAGGCGCCAGAAAGCCTTTATAAGGCCTATATACCGAGCTTAAAGGTATTAGGTAATCTTATTATCTATTCCTGAGACTATAATAATTATATAGTCTATTTCTTTATAGATATACTTATGAATATACTTAATTACTTATACGGAAGTATAAACCTCAATATTAATACGAGAGCGGAAC